TATTATTGGCTTGTGCTTTGATTTCATTCAGTAATGTTAACAAGATTACATTCCTTTACAGACAAAAAAGCATTTGCTGCAATGTGGGGAAGGATTTGAATGTCACACATCCCTATGGGAGACACTGCCGAGCTGGTTTCTCCCCCTACCCAACCTCATGGGTCCCTGCAACTTCTGGCAATGTGCAAGACACAGCTAGCACTGGCCCTGTGACACTGCCCCCAGCGACCTGGAGAGATACCTTCCCGTGAGTGGGTGGGAATCCTATCTCTCTTCAGCCAAAGATCTGTAAGACAGTCACTCCTTTGGACTACAAGCCTGGAAGCAACTGTTCAGTTCATCTGTCAGACAGACAGAGTACAGGATTGCTGACTCTACTACCCATCTGGAAGGAATCATTGAGAGCATTTACAGATCACCATCAAGAGCTCATCACACAATCAGCAGATACCAAAAATGACTCTCCAGAGATCAGAACAGAGCTGGCACTACAACTTAATGTGTAGCACAAAGTTCTCTCTAGCCTTGACTGTACAAAGACCAGCAATCTGGTGTGGTTAATCTGAACTGGGAAGGTGGCTTAATTCGAGAGACCACAAATTCATATTTCTGTTGCTCTACTATCATCTTCACATCTCCATGTAGACCCTAAAAGGTGAAACTGCTCATTTGTTTTGTAGCTTAGTGACAGATAGAAAACATGAAGAATAAAAACTGGACAACACATATCAAGAAATTAATTTTGCAACCTCTCAGATCATTATAGTTTTATAGAGACTCTAAGCCTTTTGTGTATGTGGGATTGAATCATTTGAGTAAGGTAAGCAAAACCCATCCTTGGCCGCTGACTCCAAGGACAACACCACATTCCACAGAGTAGCAGTAGCAAGTGTGATGCAGACAATGTTATACTTACAGCAGCCAATGGGGTGGAACCTCCAGGTGAGGTGATGACAATATCCAAAGCTGCGCCAAAGATGATTGGGCTGTAAAGGTGTGTTAAGTTTCGCCTTCAGGCTAGGCGCTTTGGGTTTTATAAAAAACATTTTATAAAAGAAGCCTTTTCTTCCTTTTATTTAATGGTCAGTCAATGAGTTTCATTAAATAAAAATGCACTACATAGCTACAAAACATTACCACAGCAAGAGTGAATACAGTTGTGTTCAAAATAATAGCAGTGTGTTGAAAAAAGTGAATAAAGCTCAAAATCCTTTTGATCCAAAATAGCTTTTATTTCCATACACACAAATGCATTGGGAACACTACACATTCTATTTCAAATCAAAACATGAAGACAAATATATCAAATTTGTGTTCCTCTAAAAAAAATTGAAGAAAAGTGAATATTAGACTGTTCAAAAAAATAGCAGTGTTTGTATTCTTCTTTACAAACTCAAACATTCACTATATAAACTGAAAAATGTTTGAAGATTTTGCTTTCCTTTGAATCACTTAATGAATATTTAGTTGTATAAGCACTGTTTCTGAGAACTGCTGTACATCTGTGTTGCATGGAGTCAACCAACTTCTGGCACCTGTGAACAGGTATTCCAGCCCAGGATGATTGGACTACATTCCACAGTTCTTCTCTATTTCTTAGTTTTGCCTCAGAAACTGCATTTTTGATGTCACCCCACAAGTTTTCTATTGGATTAAGATCCGGGGATTGGGCTGGCCACTCCATAACGTCAATCTTGTTGGTCTGGAACCAAGATGTTGCACGTTTACTGGTGTGTTTGGGGTCGTTGTCTTGTTGGAACACCCATTTCAAGGGTATTTCCTCTTCAGCATAAGGCAGCATGACCTCTTCAAGTATTCTGATGTATTCAAACTGATCCATGACCCCTGGTATGCGATAAATAGGCCCAACACCGTAGTATGAGAAACATCCCCATATCATGATGCTTGCACAACCATGCTTCACTGTCTTCACAGTGTACTGTGGCTTGAATTCAGTGTTTGGGGGTCGTCTGACAAACTGTCTCCGGCCACTAGACCCAAAAAGAACAATCTTACTTTCATCAGTCCACAAAATGTTGTGCCATTTCTCTTTAGGCCAGTCAATGTGCTCTTTGGCAAATTGTAACCTCTTCAGCACATGTCTTTTTTTCAACAGTGGGGCTTTGCGGGGGCTTCTTGCATATAGCTTGGCTTCACATAGGCGTCTTCTAACTGTAACAGTACTCACAGGTAACTTTAGACCTTCTTTGATCTTCCTGGAGCTGATTGTTGGCTGAGTCCTTGCCATTTTGGCTATTCTTCTATCCATTCGAATGGTAGTTTTTCGCTTTCTTCCACGTCTTTCAGGTTTTGGTTGCCATTTTAAAGCATTTGCGATCATTTTAGCTGAGCAGCCTATCATTTTCTGCACTTCTTTATATGTTTTCCCCTCTCCAATCAACTTTTTAATCAAGGTCTGCTATTCTTCTGAACAGTGTCTGGAAACGACCCATTTTCCTCAGAATTTCAGAGAGAAATGCACTGTAACCAGCATGTACAACATTTGCTGCCTTCCTTCCTTAAATAAGGGCAATAATTGCCACCTGTTTTTCAAAGAATGAATGACCTCACTAATAGAACTCCACACTGCTATTATTTTGAACATGCCCCTTTCAATTAGTGATTCAATTACACAGAATCAGCAGCTTGCATGTCATGACTGTTGGGACTGCTGGATTTCTATTACTCTACTACACCTGCTAGTAAATTATTTGCCATGTAGAAATATCATTTCTACCAAAAACTGTGATTGATCAGGTTAGTGATGTCTGACTGCTATTATTTTGAACACAACTGTATGTATTCTTGTGACAATGTGAGATGTGCACTGTATGTGTAACTGGTGTCACTTCTTTGTTCTAAATTGGTAGATTGGCTATTGTACACAGAAGCCACTGAGCTGACACATAAGTGACTTAGGCCAGAACCCTTCATTAGTATCTACTTGTATATTACCCATTCTGGCCAAGGCAAGTGCAGACATTTTACTATGGCGTGGCCTCATGGTAATGAGAAATACTGTAGGTTGTGGGGGTTAACAGTAAACTCACTAATCCTTTCAGCATCTACATATGTCATGGCAACAGGACCACAGAGTAAACCTCTGAAGATTTTAAACCAGAATTGTTTTTAAATGGTATTAAACCCCTCAAAATGTAATATATTGCAGCGTATCAATCAATATATGTGGTGACTGCATTATTTTTCTTTTAAGTTTTTAGCCTCAATTTTCACCTGGTAAGCTAGCCAGTAACACTCTTTCTGTATTAGAGTGCCCCCACTCTGGATGAAGGAGCACAGTGACACCTTTGGAAAGTACCATTGTTAATCTGGGGGGAGAGGAGTGTTAGAAGTACTAGCAGATTTCGATATACAAGCTGAACTCCAGATAACACTTAAGCAGTTACAGCAACAGTTTTTTTCCTTTTGGGATAAAGATTTTACATAAATAAAAGCTGACCATTGTAAGCACCCCTGTCACCCCTGATTTGTCTCAATCCTGTAACTGCTTCATCTGCAGGACAGTTTGTTCTGTTGAAAAACAAACCTACTGGCTGGATCACCAGGTGAAAATAAAAGAAACAAAAAGCATAAAGAATAAAACTAATGCAACCAACACATGTAAAAATTGATAAGCTGCAATGATATAATTGTTTGCTTTTGGGTTTAATTCCACTTTAAGCAAGTGGTACTCAGGCAGCAGCCATGCATTCAATCCTGACATCTTCCATGACAAAAAATGATATTGTCACTTTGCACAAAAATTTGTGAGATTGAAATAGAAGCAATATCCACTGCACATAGTACGGACTGTTCCAGAATTAAGAATTTTATTCAGGCTATACAGTCAGGTCCATAAATATTGGGACATCAACACAAGTCTAACATTTTTGGCTCTATACACCACCACAATGGATTTGAAATGAAATGAACAAGATGTGCTTTAACTGCAGACTGTCAGCTTTAATTTGAGGGTATTTACATCCAAATCAGTTTCAAATCCATTGTGGTGATGTATAGAGCCAAAAATGTCAGAATTATGTCGATGTCCCAATATTTATGGACCTGACTGTAGATAGTTTAAAGCAAATTGAACAGAAAAAAAAAAAAGGTTGATTCCCCCTTTATAACATTTGAGGTGGGTGGGGTAATCCTACCCACCATTCCCTTGTATTCTGACATTGAGGAGACTTCCCAAGGTGGTCTCTTCTTTTTATCACCAGAATACACTGATACAACTGGTGGTGCTGACCAAGCATAGAAAATTCTACAGGAAGGTTGTATAGGAGTCAACAGAACTGGTGGATGAACTTCTGCACAACACCCTGCCTATACATGGATCAAAATTTGGCTGGTCCCTGCTGAACCAGATGACATTTGATCCATGTATGGATGCCTGTAGAGAAACAGTTAAATGATCCAGAACAAATAATAGGGATAGTACATTTGTTGATGTATTTATATTTCAATTGTGTTTCCTTTGCATATTTGCCCAAAAAGTGGGTCAAACTGTTACCTGGATTGAACAAGATAGCACAGCCAGTGACATACTGTAAAAAGGGAAAGTATAATCTTTGTAAATGAGGGGAATATTTTAGAAAAGTAATGTGTAAAGTACAGGAGGGTGAATATGCAATCTTTAAAGTAGATCTGTAATGCAATTCAAATGGGGCTGTCTTTGTTGGCCTCTTCCTGAAAATGCTACTATCTGGTCATGTCCAACATCAAATGTTTCTGGAACAAAATTGGAGCAAATAAGAGTCAGGCTTCCTCATTGTTATACTTGCTCCAGGCCAATGACTGAAAGTATTTAAACCAGATTATCAGAATATCAGCCAGGCAATTAGCATTTTCAGAGGGAAAGGTCAGCAACGGCAGCCCTCATTTTCTTCATGACAGGATTCCTTTAAACTATCATTTGAGAGCACTACTGAAAAAGGAGGATGAAAGGGATTGCAATATAAAAAAATCTATTTATTCTTATCATTTTTATATTTTGATTGATCACCTTGAACACTTTCTGCATAGTCCTCATCTTCAGAGTCATCATTTGTCTCTGACTCTTCTTCAGTCTCGGAATACTCATCATCAGTACTTAAATTATCTTGGTCCTCTTCCATTGCCTCTGCGCTTTCCATTTCTTCCCGCTCTAAAATCTTCTGGAAAATGTTGAATTCTTCTGAGGAAGAGCGTGCAATTTGTGATAAGAAGTCCTCCTCAGACAACTGCACAATCTCTTTGATTTTTGGGTTGGAAGGAGGACACAGGCCTTTTTTGGTTGGAGGTATGAATCTCCCCAGACGCTCCAGAAAGTGATGCCGAACTCTAATCTCATTTAGTGATTTTTGGAAAATCCCAGAAGAAAGAATGTCTCCATGTTTCCCACCCATCCGAAAATATGCATACTGCAAAATGAGAGAAATGACAGTCAAGGAAAAGGGTCTATAACAGTCCTTCTCAACCAGAGTTCATTGCAAACTTTGGGTTCCTGCAGAAGTTGTTAGGGATTCCTTGAGCAATTTCTGGCTCAGATAAGTAAACACTGCTACCAATTTTAGCTATTCTTCCCAGTGACTTTCCACTGATCACCAGTTTTATGGGACCCCTCTGCTAGTGATCAACAAGGTAAGGGGGTCCTTCACTGACCAGCACTGTATAATTGGCTATACAATATGATTGTGCAATCTCTTTTAGCTTTACCAAAACTATGTAACAGGAGAACACATCTTAACAATCCATTCAGTGTGTATCAATAAGACAGGCCTTTGCACGGCACAGCTGATGACAATTAGATTGTATAGTGGATGGTCACCTTAAGGGGGCATTTTTCCACTGACCACAACTGTGTGGTAACACTAAAATAGCTCCTGTCTGCCTTTCATTTCTGGCTATTATTATTTTTAAAATTTCATTATGATTACGGAACTTAATTTCGCAGTATAGAGCGAGTGTCAAATAGATTAAAGCTGGCCAAACATAAATCATCTGAACAAAAAAAAAAAAAAAAGATCCAATTTCCCCATCCACATGTGGATGAGGTAATCATTCCCACTGTACTACTGTGTTTAGACAGCAGTGAGCTTTCCCCCTCCGTTGGAACACATTGATTGGTGTTGACCGCTATAGCCTGTAGGAAAACCCGACAGGCTCGTTGTACACAAGCTGATTGGTAGATCGATTTGTGTACAACTAGCCTGCCCATACATGGATTGAAATTCGGCCAGTCCCTGCTAAACTGGCTGAACTTCAATCCACATATGGTCACCTTAAGTATGCCATGATTCTTATTCTTTACATTGATTCTTGTTTCTTAACTTACTGTTCACATTAACGAACTATAATCCATAGTACAGCAATTAATAGCAAAGGTTTCCTAGGACCTGAAAGTTATTTCAAGGGTTAAGTAAGTCTGGTTTATACTCTTCAGCTTTGCCTACAATAATAATCCAGTGGTTGATTGTCAACTTTAAAACTATGAAAGATTCTGGTAATTTCACACAATTTTACAAAATTTACTTATTTAAATTACTCAGTGTGCCAGTGTATAAAATTCTACTCTAAATTTCCTTTGGGTGCAGCCCTTTTCAATAATTATCTTCAGTGTTTAGGCTGCATAGGGTGTGTATATTCTGCCCATGGATTCAGTGTGGATCCACCAGTTTCCTCCCAAAGACTAAACTAGCCGATCCCAAAATTGGTCATGGCGAGTCTGTGTAGGTGTGCAGAAGTTAACCTGCAAGCTCCTTCATGAGCAGGGACTGACCTGAGTGCTTCAATGCTCTCTTTTAGGCATTGTGGAAAAACTCAGTATATTCCCAGAAACTTGTAACACCTGAACATCATACCTTTATGAGCTTGCTAAACATCTGATTTTCCAAAACATAAACTTTCACAAGACTTTTTGGAGTATGTCTGTGGAATTTTTGGGTCCAATTAGCTAAAAGAACATTTTGAGGTCATACATTAATGCTGGATAAGAAAACATGACTTGCTACCGATTTTCCAATTTATGCCAAAGGCGTTCAGAAGGATTAAAGGTCAGGACTCTGTGTAGCCCCCTCCAGTTCCCCCAAACCAGACTTTTCAAACCATGACAAGCCTTGACCATACCACAAGGCTGGAAGCATATAATTGTCTAAAATGTATCTGTTTGCTGTAACATTACAGTATACATCACTGGAAACACCTGAACTCAGTAATCGGGAGGGGTAATTTTGGCTATTTAGGTAGGTGTGCCATTCAGCTTTCCACAGACTTTTGACCTTTTAATGTACAACAGTGAAATATCTAACCACTAAAGATAATCTAGCGATCACACTCACCTGGAAGAGCTCCTCTAGGTGGTTGGGATCTTGGATTAAGGCTTCTGGTGTGGTTTTAAGGATCTTCAGTACCTGCTGAGATGAAAACTGACACCGAGTCTTAAGACACTGTGCTGAGGCTAACAGATGGGAGCGAGGCACAGATAGTAAAGAGGGACACCTCGACAGAGAGTTCTGAAGAGAACCTGTATATTGAGAAAGAGGAGGAAGCTTATGCACATGGTAATGGAGAAGTCTCATTTGTCAGGAATCAATATTAATCTGGAAAACATAAATTTTTTTCTTTCAACTGTTAGAACAAATTTATTGCAGAGTGCAATTAGGAATTCAAACATGCAAAATGCACTAAGCCTTTATTCACATTAGATGTCATTTTTGGTTTCATGGAGTGTGCTGAATTTGGCAACACAGGCCAGCAAGATGGTATTAAAAAAATAATATCTACAGACCCTGTTTCCACCAGTGTTGTATCCAAATGTATTTGGAAAATATACTGTATGATGTAATTTTGGGTGCAGTGACTTTCAGTGTCCCTTTCAAGTGAGTTAAATTAAGACCTTAAAAAAAGGATCACATGAAAACATCAGAAAATGCAAGGCACATACGCTAAATCAGTCTCTATACTAAACAGGTTTCTAACTGCATTGGGTGTAAAGAAGCCTTTATCTATATCAGCCAATCACAAATCGATGAAGGGTGACATTAAATTGGTTTTTACATCACATTACCTGCTGGTATGTAGGGCTTATTTGTAATAAATAGCTAATCAGATGCCTGTGGAGGATATAAAAAATAGAACCAATGGATTTAATGGTAGTGTATCACATGCAAACTCCTCAACCTGTATGTAAAAAAATATATAAAACATATAGGGTGCTGACAGAAAATCAATTTCATATCTAGCAACATTAGTTTAGGACACTGGGAGTGCCACACAAGCCCCAAAAAACTTCTTCAAACTACAAAGTGAAAATGTAGCAAGTCCAGTCCTTCTGTCACATCCCCTACTCCCACCTGCCAGCAATTCCCACCTATAGCAGCTACTGTTGTCAAAAAGGACCATCTGACACATTGTTTATGAAAAGACGATGCAGGGCCAGAGCTCTTTTGGCTCTTCTGTGGGTCACAGAAGTGCACTTAGTTCTGCAGTCCTGTGACCCGTTTTCAGGCTAAAGTCCACGGTCGACTGACATGACCCAGTCAATCCAGGCTCTGGAGAGATCCCGTCATTAAAGTGATTCTAAAGGCTTAAATTTATAAACAAATAACAAACATGTCTATACTTACTTGCTCTGTGCAATGGTTTTGCACAGAGCAGCCCCTGATCCTCCTCTTCTCAGGTCTCCTGCCGGCGCTCCTGGCCCCTCCCTCCTGTTGGGTGCCCCCACAACAGGCAGCTTGCTATGGGGGCACCCAAGCATGCACACTCCCCAGTTGCTGCTCCATGTCTCCATTCACACACGGAGCCACGGTTCGGCCCTGTCCTCTCTCTCTTCTTATTGGCTAACTTGCTGTAATTGACAGCAGCCAATGGCTCCCGCTGCCACCTCAGTCAATGAGGAGAGAGAGTTCCGGGATAGCCAAGACTCCAGTGCTCATCGCTGGATAGAGAGGGGGCTTAGGTGAGTATCAGAGGGGGGGCTGAGAAGGATGCTGCACAAAGAAGGTTTTTAACCTTCATGTATAGAATGCATGAAACTAAAAATCATTGAGCCTTTACAACCACTTTCATGTCAGGATCCACCCAGATGCCTGGACTAAGCAGTTGGCTCAGCCTCTCAGCAAGCCGCTGGGAGACTGAGCCAGCTGCTCCCACTCACTGCACAGCCCAACACCCCAGTGAGCGCTAGAGGGGCAGAGCTTTCCACCTCCAGCAATCACTTCTAAGACTGGTTTTCAGTCTTAGAACCAGTAGGGGACAGATGCGGCATCCACCTAGATGCATACAGGATTTTTTTTTTTTTATGATCAAACTTCTTTTAACACTGTTCAGGAGCCAGAGATAAAAAAGTAAAACAAAGTGTTAGTTTTGTATCTAATATTTCATTAATCTGCAGATTAGAGGGATGGCCGTCTATCTGCAGATGCTGTCAATTAAGCAAACTGACAATAAAAAAAAAATAGTCTTTATTTAGCCCCTTATTAACTTTTAGTTTATCCTAATCAGCCCTTTTTCCTTCAACTATAATTTTCCTACCAATTTTGTTTTTTTCTATTTTATTAACCATTCATATTTATTTTCTATTTTAATTTGTTCTGTTTGCACTTTTTTTTAAAGTGACAGTAAAAAAATTAACAGAGTAAAAAAAAAAAAAACTGTTCACATTTCATTTGCAGATACCTCTGCAGTGCTTTTGCAGAATCCTAATTTGTGTCATTTTAAACAAGACCAATTACTGCCATTGTGTGACAAGTAAAACGGTTTTGTGGTACTCTGGCATGGTTTAATCACTTCAGCTCTCATCGTTGTACACCTCAATCCTTACATTTCTGCTACGGTCATGTTTATTCGGAAATAACTTTGTCATAAATTAAGATAAGAGAGTAATACATACACTGTTTAAGAACAAGCAATGCTTTATTTTTGTTATATTGTCTGGCAAAAAAAAATATCCAAACCTTGGACAAAATTGTAACAAAACACATTTTTTCATTTTTGAGAAGTGTTTAATTAAAAAAAAAAAAAAAAGTACGTCAGGGTCACATAATCCTCCCTGCAGATTGATAACAGTTAAGTCCTAATAAAAAAAGAATCCCCTCTGTTTCCTCCCCTATCTGGTAAGTGAACTGCCTGTCCTGTCCTTTGTAGAATTCTGTCCCTGAATTACATTTTTTGAAGTTTCACGCTTAAAAAAAAGTTGTCTTGGAAATGTCCTCAATGTTTTATATTGATAAAAATGTCTCATTCTTAAGAACAGGGACTATATCCAGTTTTTACTGTACATTGTGATTGGCTTTTTATGCTAAAGAAACCCTTATTGAGAGAAATGCATTGAAATTGCTGACTTGCAATGCCATTTGTCTGACTGTCATTGTGACCATCTAAGCTTTAATACTGAGTACATGCATGTGCCATTTTGGGTATCATCAGAATATTGATGGTATTGACAGCCATTGGAGGTTAACAACTGCCCAAGGGATCAAGTGTAGAGAGACAAATCGTTATTATTATACAGGATTTCTATACAGTATAAAGGGGGACAGTACAATTACAATACAGTTCAATACAGAAGGATTAGGAGGGCACTGCTTACAATCTAAAGGGAGGGGGGTACAAAAGGTGATAGCTGCAGGGGATGATCTGATGGAGGTGACTCAAGTATCATTCTTAGGTGGAGGTGGGGTAGGCTTTCCTGAACAAATGAGTTTTCAAGGATCGCCTAAAGGCGGACAGGGTAGGAGCTGAGCGGACATACTGGGGCAGGAAGTTCTTGGGAGGAGCGGAGAGGACGGTTTGGGTGACATCCGCAGATAGAGTTAGGGATGTAGCTGGGGGTGATACTGTGGATGGCTTTGTACGTTGTGGTTAGTATTTTGAATTTTATACGTTCGTGTAGTGGAAGCCAGTGAAGAGATTGACAGGGAGGGGCAGCAGTCACTGAAGGAGAGGTCAAAGTCCAGGATTACACTCAACACCCTGACGTCTGGAAGGACCAATAGTTGTGCCACTGATCTCAATGGTAAAGTCATGGGGAGGGGATCGGGCAGGAGGAAATATTACAAGCTCAGTTTTAAAAAGATTGCAGGTTGGAGGCATGGGAGGTAGGAGACCGGGAGAGTGTGAAACTGATAAGGTTGTGATTGGAGAGAGGAAAAGGGATGTTGGAGAGTTTGCAGGCAGTGCAGAGGTAAGAGAATACAAGGTCGAGGGTGTTGCCATTGGAGTGAGTGGTGGTTTGTATCCATTGTATTAGATTAAAAAGAGGAGGTTAAGCTGAAGTTCAGAAGTGGCTGAGGTGTTAAAGTGTTACTAAACCCAGGGCCCTGCATTCACTATATCTGGTCTCCCACAGTACACACAACATGGAAATGCAATTATTTTAGTAAATATAAACTACTATATACATTTTCTTATCAGCAGTCTATAGCAGTCTTGTGACTTCTATCAGTGTCTGGCTGAGCACTGGTTAATCTTGTAGGAGGAGTTTTTATTCTATTCTGTTCTATGAGGCTGCATATGCATAACCCTTGACCCTCTGTCTGAACAGTGCTGGTTGGCTCTGTGCTGATAACATTCACCCTCCAAAAAAAAAAAAAAAACCTCTCTAGCAATACACATTAAACTGAGCATGTGCAGGAGTGACTCCTACAGTTCTGTGCTATCAGCAAATGGATTGGGGACTGTGGAAAAATGGGAGGATCAGAGAAGACAGGATCAAACAGCCTTTTTTGGAGGATTAACCCCTTAGGTTGCACAGTGAGTATAACAAGCATGCTTACTGCATATACAGACTTTTTACTGTTGTGGGTTTAGTAACACTTTAATATCGATTGTAATGTTACAGTCACTGAGGATGATGGCAGGTACTTCAGAAGAGAGAAAGTACGGTATCCATGTGGAGAAATCATTCAAAAAAGCGTGACACAAACTGGTGAAAAAATACAAATGCAGTGCATTTCAAAATAACAAAGGGAAAGAGAAGAAGGTAAAGGAAGAACCTGGAAGGTGCTTTGTGGGGAGAGAAGTCCAACTCTGCCTCCTTTTCGTTTGCTGGGTCTAGGCGAGTCCAGAGGAGACCACCATGGGAGAGGGCAGCTGGGGAGGCAGTGTTGGATTCCTGGAGCCAGGTTTTGGTAAGAGCAAGTAGTTTGAAGGAACTGGAGAGGAAAAGATATATGACAGAGGAAAGTTTAGGGGTCTGTGAACAGAGCTTTGGGGGACCCCTACAGAAAGAGGAAAGGAGAAGATAGAGTTGTGGGTAATACCTAAAGAGCACTTACAGGTGAAACTCGAAAAAAAATTAGAATATCGTGCAAAAGTTCACTTATTTCAGTAATACAACTTAAAAGGTGAAACTAATATATGAGATAGACTCATTACATGCAAAGCAAGATAGTTCAAGCCGTGATTTGTCATAATTGTGATGATTATGGCTTACAGCTCATGAAATCCCCAAATCCACAATCTCAGAAAATGAGAATATTGTGAAAAGGTGCAATATTCTCGGCTCAAAGTGTCCCACTCTAATCAGCTAATTAAGCCATAACACCTGCAAAGAGTTCCTGAGCCTTTAAATGGT